CAGCCTGGAGGGGTCGGGGGGAGTGCCAACAGACTGCTCCTGAATTCTGGCACTGACACCAGAGAGTTAATGAGAGAGCAATCCCTGCATCACCTTTCCTGTGGCCTTTTGGACCACATCATCTACAGGTCATGCGCTGTTGCCCTGTGACACCTGGGTTATCACCTTTACTTAAAACCAAGCTTTTAATCCTAGGTGAGGTCTGTGTGTGCTTGTTGTTTGCTGTGGAGGATTATTTGGCTGATGGCCCTGCGGGAGCCACTTGTACAGTTCTCACTGCACCCTCATGGCACTGGGCAGTTTGTTTCTTTGCTCTCTTTTCATGTTGTGGCTGAGGTCCATAGCAGAGAGAATGGGCTGGACACAGTCCTGGGGTGACTTTTATCTTCATTAAAGCAGTGCCTGCTGGGATTTCTGAACATGAGGGCTCTGCAGGGGTATTTACACCAGCCTTAGATTGGATAGGAGGAAGAAGGGATACTGGGAATGTACGTTTGCTGTACTGGCTTGACAGAAACTCCTGGTGTTTTGTGTTTGTGATTGAGGAATTGCTTTCTTTGTTTGTCACAGGTAAGACCTGCAGTTTCCTGCTGATGACCTGGATTAGAGCTGTAACTTCAGCCAGCAATGCCAGGATCTTGTTTGAGTCCGGGTTCTTTAGGTAACCATGAAAGTACCAAAAATTTCTGGCAGGTCCGAAGTTGCTTCTCATTCTTGTACAGGACAGACCTCCAGCCATGATCAGTCATCCAGTGTCTGGCTCTAGTCAGACATCCCAAAAGCTAACTGTGTTAAGTCTGCTTTGACCTTTTTTCTTTTTTTTCCCCTCCTGTAGCTTCTGAGCTTGAAAAGCATACATTCTAATAGTGTTGGCCTTATATCCTGGTATAAGTGTATGTATCTGAATAGATAACTGTATGTTCATCTTTCTAAAAATAGTACAAAAAGATGCACTTGGATGGGGGAAACACCCCTCTTTCTATTTTAGTAAGGCTCGCTGCATCTTTTCCCATAAAGATTTTTCAAGAACTAGGGAAAGATTCCCACTATTCTTCTAGGACTGAGTGCGCCACAGGACAAAAATAACTATCATTAATATTGCAAATGCATATTTTGCCAGAGGATGGCAGTGTGAAAGGGTTTTCATTGCTCTGGGAATGCCTTTGTCTCCGCTGGGGAAGGAAAGCACCATCTGCTTTCACAGGCGAGTCAGCACATGCACCCCGACAGCTCCACCTTCAGCCAAATCGGAAAAATAAGCTTTGGGACTGGTGGGTTAAAGGGAATGAAGCTTAAGGACTACCAAACCAGTGACCTTCCCTGACAGTGCTGCCTTAAAAGGGAGAATAATCTATTGAAGAAATTATTCATTAAAATACGAGTGTATGTGTGTGGTGAGAGTTAAGTGTGTGTAAAACACTTTGGGAACTGGAGCACTTAATATAAATAACACTATTCAAAGAGTCCAACTAGCAATCTGTGGACCTCTTGTCCTAATTCATAAGGAAGTAATAGTGCCAAGTACATACTTTTTTCCTATTTGCGTTGCATCAGATTGTGTTGGTACAACCTTTAGAATGTTTATCAAAGCATTCACTGCCAGCTTGCAGGGGAGGCATAATTGAAATACGTGTTCAGTCTCCTCTTAATACCGAATGCGGTGTGTTTGTTGTGTCTGACCCAGTGCTTACAAACAGTTCAAACAAACCCAGCCAGTTTTCAAGGAGCTGTCCTGCAGCCTGGTGTTGGAGCTCCACATGTTGGCCAGTGCCTTGTCTCTTGCTCTCACACGGTGCCAGGGGGAATTCAGGTGAACAGGCTGCTCCCAGGGCTGGCTCTGTGTCTGGCTGTCCCATGTCCATTGGCTTTGGAACAGCAAATACTGCCAAGTGACTTCTGAGAGCATGAGATGTATCCAAGGGTGGTGGTTGGTGACACCTGTGCAGACCCTCCAGAGGATGTTTGGGGAGAGAACAGGTCTGCATGTCAGCAGGGAGCTGCTGCAGTCACCTGGGGGGTGCCTGTGGGGGTGAAACGGAGCCAAATCCTGCCTCCAGCTGAGTCCCAGCAGGAGGATTGCTGTGGCTCTCCAAAGGGCAGGAGCATCAGGAAGGGGAGGCAGCGGGATACCAAAAGCTGCTATAGCAGGATTGTACAATAAATTAAAGCTTGAGGGCCTTAGTGGAAGTGCTTAACAGGGACTTCCTAATGCTGATAGCAAAGTGAAACCTCTTTCCTGTCCTTTGGAAGGCTGACTTCCCTGAAGGCTGATTCCACAGGTGTTGTGCCTGTGACCTGTGTCTGTGAAAATTCTGAGCAGTCAAGGCACTGAAGGCTGTTAAATACAGCTCCCAGTGTCCTGTGCAATCCATCCACTGGCACAGCCACTAAATGCCTTAAAACCATGGTCCTGGTGGTGTTTGGCATTTGAAACCTTTCCCTCTTTTCCTCAGGCCCATGAGGATGCAGCAGCAGAGCTCAGGGCAGGTAAAAGGGTCAATGGGAAGCCTCGCTCCAAATGAGGGGGTGGACCAGGGTCCATCCAGGGGTCCAGACAGGAGCAGGGGGCTGTAGGAGGGTTGCAGAAAGGGTCCAAGGGGTCACCTGAGAGATGAGCCTGACCCCAGCCCTATCTCTCCTCTATCTCAGCCCAGGACTGGATGCCCAGCATGGAGCTGGAAGGGATCCTCTGGGCGGGAGTGCAGGTAGAGGCCTCTGGGGAGGCTGCTCAGGGTGGCCAGGGGCTATTGGTGCCATGGGGGTCCTGCTGGTGAGCTGGGGTTTGTGCTCTGCACTCCACCAGCCTCTTCCTTCCAGCTCCCTGTTCATTGATTTTTCCCCTGTGCTGATGCTGCCTGGAATGTTTGCTCCCCAAGTCTGTAAGAACAGGAAGTGTTTTCATGGACAGGTATTGATCAGGCAACGAATCCCAGTTTATGACTGCACATTTCAGTATCCCTTGAAAAAGCAGGGACAAATCCAACAGGCAGCCTCCTCTGTGGCTTCCACAGGTCAGCACCCCTTTGAGTGAAGCTGAAGATTTCTCTGAGTGAGCTTAGCTGTGTTTTGACAGTCCTGAGGGCAAAGCTCCTGAGCTGAAGGTGCTGTTGAGTTGTTGATCTGCTGTGGCTGAGGAGAATTGTCACAGAAATAAATCCAGGCTTACTAAGGGAACTGTGCTGTGTAATTTGGCATCTGTCAGCTGACTCCTGGGCCAAAGTCACTTTCCTGGCCCCTTTCTCATATTAATCCTTATCTAGTCTCTTCTTATAATTAGATCAAGCAGCCAGAATGCACAGATCAGAGCTGAGACCAAATTCCAACCTGACAATAGATCACAGAAGCCCCTTCTCACACACTGGCTGTGTATATTCTGCTGAGCTTGTTATGCTGGGGACTTGTGACACTTCCCATGTGCTGCACTGCACAGCTCCATGCCTGGAGATGAGACACCTTAAAAGCAACAATAAGCTTTCTCAGAACTCAGCTGGGCTTTGTGCTCATGAATAAAATATCCCCTGCCTTGGTTTATTTATGGGGCTTGTGTGCCGAGACACGAGTGGTAACAGAAAGTCAGGAAACTGTTCTGCAAAATAAAAACAGGGTTTATTTATATGGCTCTCAAATGGTTGGTGTCCACAATGGGCTGAAATCATGCCCTCCTTGTAGCAGGAAATATCTGTTGCACATGGGGCTGTGCCAGTGGTGGATGTAATCCTGTTACCTTCTGACAGGCTGACGGTTCAAGTCAGGCTTCAGAGCTTTCCAGTCCCATGGAAGGAAGCAAAGTCATCATGGTGGATGAGGGAAGACCATGGGAAAGGGACTGGTCACTGTGGTTAAGGCTGATGGTAGAGCAGGGACTTAGAGGGGCAGCAAAAGGAAGGTGAAGGACTGGTGGAAGGTCTAGAGCCAGTCCTATGAGAGGAGCTGGAGGGGCTCAGCCTGGAGAAAAGGAGGCCCCGGCGGGGACTTTCTGCCTCTGCAAGTCCCTGACAGGAGCGGGGAGCCGGGGGGGGGGGGGGTCGGGCTCTGCTCCCAGGGAACAAGGGACAGGAGGAGAGGGAACGGCCTCCAGCTGTGCCAGGGGAGGGTCAAATCTAGTGGTGCAGCAAGGAGTTCTCATGCACCTGTCACTTCTGGCCAACTGTAGAAACAAGAAGTTATTTTCTTGTAAGAAAATCTTATTCTACCTCAAATAACTGCAATGGGACCATATCTTATATGGATGGGGTCTGCTCAGCTCTCAGCACGTGGCTTGGTGCTGTCTTTGATGCTCCACCATCTGCAGTTCCCAGCATCTAACGGGACATAAAATTATCTGTACTATTTTCTCCTCAGAATGTTAGCTGTAATAAGTAGTTTTTAAGTGATACCTTACAGTTCTAGCCCCTGACAGTTTATTTTAATTTTGGAGTAAACATCAACAGAAGTGTCGCCACAGGAGAAATACCTTCCCTAGAGTGCTTCCCTGCTGGAGTTGTATTATTGTTAAAACTTACAGAACTAAAGCACAGAAACAACCTGAATATGGGATTAACATCTAATATGCCACAAAAATGACAGTGAAATGAGTATATCAATAGAGCAAGAATCTTTTGTTGATTTTTATCAAAATTTGAGGAAGCTTTTATGGAGTTGAACAATAACTTAAGAGTTTAAAGCAGCTCGAATAAAAATCCAAATTAGCTCACAGCGCTTCCATCTGGATTCTCCTCTTACTTGTGGGACATCTAGTGGCAGAAAGGAGTCTGGATCTTTGAATACAAAATGGTATTTTAGAGCGTGGTTCTTTTTTGAAAAAAAACCCCAACACTCAAACTCTTTTTCCTCTTCATGTTGGTTTGAGGTTGAAAGAATTGTGTTGTTTTTTTTTTTAATATTGATATTTGAAAACAGATTGGGCTCTCAGTCACAAATGCAGTTTCTGGGTAGTGTTACTCTGTTGAGAAATAGCCTCAAGAAGAGTTGTACCTGAATAAGACTGTTCTCTGTTCCAGCTGACCTGGGTCTCTTTTATGACACCCAACTGCTCCTCCCAGAAGCTGTTCATACCTTTTATTTGCCCTGGATGGTGTTTCTCTCTCTGGAGTATCCTGCTGTTGTCCCGGAGTTTCTTGGAGCAGATGTGGGGCTCCTCAGCAGCTGGAGCAGACCTCAGCCTGGCTGCCAGCCAGGAATTCCCAGCATGTGGGAATACAGGTGAGTAGGGCAGTGGGGGGCAGGAAAACACGTTTTGTGCATTGGTCTTGCTACGCCTGCAGGATACTTGGTGTGCTGTGCTGGGGATACTCTGCAGGAAGAAGCTCAGGCTTTTATCAGGTATTGACATGGGGTGGGACAGCCCCCTTTTCCCTTCTGTTTTGCCCTCTCCAGGCCAGGGAGGGGTGTAGCACAGCCCAAATAATGGACACCAGGTGTTTCCTAAAGGGCAGCAGCCCTGGGCTCTGTGTGGCAGTGAGCTTCTTGCACAGCAACCACTTTCCTGGGCATTTTTGTGCTGTTCCATTTCACTGGCTCTGCAAGAGTAACTGTGGAAATAGAACGTTCTTCTTTTTCCTCTTTACTTTTGTTCTTTAAACTTGTCTCTCTTCTTGGCAAAGCCCATGGAAACCTTCTTTGATGGAGCTGATGGGCTAATGTGAACTTCTGTAACAGCCGTGGATATTTTGCAGCAGGATCAGATTTGTAGAGAAAAATGCATCTGCCTTTAAATCTCTGCTTTAATGGTGTGGGTTTTATCACCTTTCTAGTACATGATCTGTTTGAGGCTTGGTGTGGTTTTGTTTTGGGGTTTTTTTTGTTTCCATTATATTCTGCAGACTTAAGAGCACAGAATCCATTTAAAAAGCAAATTGATATTCCTCTGGCCCTAAATTTTGGGGGTTTGTGTAGCAGGGCCTTAATGGAAAGATTAGCTGAAATGTCTGAGTTCTATCAGTAGATTTCTGCACTTCAGAGTCTGAAGAAGGTCAAGGCTCTGCCCTTTGCAACCAGCAGGTGCCAGGTAACACCCGGGCTCTTGGATGCTGGGTGACCTCTTCAGAGAGCATGGAAGGCCTGGGAGCCCTGGGATGTTCTCTCATGGCACTACCCCTGACTCCCTCCCACCCCCAGCAGAGTGGGGAACAAAACAGAAAAGACCCAAAGATTCCCTTTCTCTTTCTGAGCATGGTGCTGTGTTGTGTGGGCTGTCCCTTTGGCCAGGTGTCCTGGTTCTGAGGTGACCCAGCCACTCCAGGTGGATGTGGTCCAAGGTCCACTACTATCACTGGTTGCTAAACTGTGCAGGAACAAGGTGGGAGGTTCTGGAGCTGTGCCAGCAGGATGTCCATGTGTGAAGCCATCTCCAGCCTAATTCAGGGCTATTTGCCACCTAAGAGAAGCTGGAGCAACAATTAGGTCCATTCTTGTGACTCTTTCTATAAGAAGGGACTTGGAAAAAGCAATTGCAGGATGTGAGCAGGGGTTGTCTGAGGCGGAAGAGAGGGAACAACACATGGAAAAGAAATGTGCCTGGAGGCAGCAGGCTTGTAGGAGCCAGGACTGCCTGGGGCTGAGTGGGTGAAATCACCTCCTTAGGTGTCTTCCTCGTGCTTGCAGAGTTTGCTCCATGTTCAGCTGGGAAAGGACATCAGGAATAGCAGCTTTTTTTTTTCATCCTGGCAGGAAAATATTGGTTTGCAGTTTGTGTAATTGATGGTGATGGGAAGGTGTGTGTGTGACACTTTTGCCTCTGGATAACTCAGGCCTGGTGCAGCACAGCTGTTCTGCTCCAAGCCTGGCTGTCTAGAGGTTGAGGTGTGAACTCCAAACTACTGTTGTGCACCCCACACTAGGAAAAAAAACAGCTTTCTGCCTGCCTGAAGCCCGTGGCTGCTCCTCCCCACTGAGATATGGTGCACAATAAATGGCGGCAGTGGGTGGGAGGCTCAGGTTCCACGTGAGATTCTGGGATGGATCACTTTTGGTAGCTGAAAGACCAAAAAGTTGGATGAGTTGAAGAGGTGCTGGGCCCCTCTGAGCATGCTGCTGTTGTCCAGAGTGCTGAGGGCCAGGAATGTCTGCAGGTCGTGTTTGAAGACAGCACAAACTGTGGTTGTGAAGCTTCATTTGGAAATGAGCTCCTAAATGTGTGTGAGCTGGGGCAAGTCTGTATGAGAGGCAAAAACACTGGGTTTGAGAGGGCAACCTGGAAATTCCTGTAGCTTATTCCATACCTGGGATCCAGGATATAAGTAAGGTCACTGGTTGTTGCACGACTCTGGCAACTGGTGGAGACAAAAGGAAAGGCTGAGGGAATTGGGATTGTTCAGCCTGGAGAAGAGAAGCTTTGGTGTGACCAAATTGGCCCTTCCAGGACCTGAAGGGAGCCTGAAAGAACGAGGGAGAGGGACTATTTACAAGGGCCTGGAGTGACAGGAGAAGGGGGAATGGCTTCCCACTGCCAGAGGGAAGGTTTATGTTGGATATTGGGAAGGAATCCTTCCCTGGGAGGGTGGGGAGGCCCTGGCACAGGTTGCCCAGAGAAGCTGTGGCTGCCCCATCCCTGGAAGAGTTCAAGGCCAAGCTGGAGCAACCTGGGCTAGTGGAAGGTGTCCCTGCCCATGGCAGGGGGTGGGACTGGAGGAGATGATCTTTAAGGTGCCTTCCAACCCAAACCATGCTGTGATTTCCTGATCTCTGGTCAGAGCAATGCACACAGCAGCCTGCTGAGCTCAAGGACCCTCTGGGCTGGAGAACAGCAGGATTTAGTGCAGTAGCACTGGTTTATCTGGGCTGTGACAGTGGGAATCTGATCAGCCTTACAGGTTCTGATGAGGGGACAAGTCTGTAGAGCAGCTGATGGGCTCGGGGAGGGGAGGAGCTGGTCTCTCTGACTCTGGGAATCCAAACTGCTGTGAAGAGAAATGCTGCCTCTCCCATTTCTCTTCTGTCTCTTCTCACAGAACCATTTAGGTTGGAAGATCTCTGAGATGAGTCTGTTTTCTGCATTCATGCTGATTGAGCCACATGAGTATGTGCACTTGCTCCTGGTTTTCCTCAATTACCCCTAAAATTGTGACAATTGGACACCTGAGAAGGGGATTTTCCATGGTGGGCAGTGGGAGAGGCAGTGTGGTGAGTGAGGGATTTGGAGCTGACTGCTGGGAGTGGATCAGAGATGTATGGAGTGGATTTGGGCAACAAAAAGGGTCAGCAGAGCCCTTGCTGTGCTGAAAACTTGCTTTAGAGATGGATTTGATTTTCAGACACCAAGTGTTAAGCTGGTCCTTTTTCCATTTAACCTCACCTTCTATGTGATGGAAAATTACTGCCCTCATATTCTCTCTTTGTCCTGTTGCAATCCTAAATACTCGGAGAGATGTTTATCCATGCTGTTAATGTGTAGTAATGGGATTGCTATTTTAAAAATCGATACAAATCTCACACTAGAAGAGAAAGGCTTATAGATTATTCTGTCAAGAGCTGTTTTAATAGATCTATCTGACATTTGAGACACTTTCCCCAAAAGTGCTCTTGCAGTTTCAAATTGCTTCTTAAATGTTGCTGCCTGCAGATTCCAGGCCAAGCTGTCAGAGTGAAAACCTTTCTCTGCAGCTTCAGAGAAGCTGGAAATCATAAATGTTTTCTTTTTTTTTTTTTCAATTGGTGAAGAATGTGTTCTCCCCTAAATTAGGGATCAGCAGTTTCAAACACATGCTTTACTTTTGTGGTTTCAGCCATCTGGTAGGAGGGAGAAGCTGGAGAGTTGGGGATGATGGGGAAGTTTAGAACAGATCTTTCTAATACTGCCACTTGCAGTGAGAAAAGCTGAATGGTGCTGACTTGCTTGAGACTCCTTTTGAGATGCAAAAAATTACTAGCAGATGGGATATGCATTTGTAGTCTAGGTATTTGAAGCTGGCTTTAATATCCTTTTTATATTTTAACAATATTCCCTACCCTTCTCATTTCCTTCCACAGCTCGGAGTAGGATGTCTCTGGTGTTCCTCTGTCAGGGTACTCACAGCCCTTCTGGTTCTGATTCCTAAGGGACTGTTAGTTAGCAATAATTGCATTAATTCATCAAATTCAGGGTGTGTGTTCTGGTGAAAGTCTGAGACCAAAGCACGTTACCAGTGCCAATAACTTGAAAACTTGCAAGTCTTGGAAGAATTATTGCTGCTGTTGCTCTCTCCATGACTTAACACTACTCAGAGAAGTGCAAGAGTTTGGTTTAGGGGTATGTTTGACTTTTCTCCATCTTAAGACCTGCAGCAGCTTCCACTTTGCAAAGGGGGAGGAACAAGGAACTGGCAAAATGACTTCACTCCCTGCAGAGTCCACAGCACCAGTGGGTAGATATTTACCTCAGGCAGACTGAGGCCAAGCCTAAAGGCCTTAATGCTTGGTATTACAGGGAGAGAAGTCAATCCCTGCAAACTTTTTGCCAACTTTATTTTTAATTTATAACATGTTTCTTTCTGCCATTTTTCTGATGCTCCTCGTTCCCACTGGTCTCCCCCAGTAGCTGTTTTTTGGGACACGTACCATTTCTGCCTCCTGCTGACCTTGCTGGCAGTGGTGCCTGTGGTCTCTGGGCAGCCCATCACTTGGTGGCTCTGGTGAGCTTTGTCCCTTATCAGTGTCTCCACAGTGGTTCTGTTGGGGGTTTTTTTTATGGTTTCCCCCTTTTTCCCTTGAGTTCCCAACTGACAGGGTCCCCAGACAACCTTCCTGGATTAAACATTCTCACCCTCTCACCTGCACTTCTGGTCCTGGGCCTTTGAGTGGTCTTCAGCCTTGTGAATGAAGTGTCTTGGAGAAAGTATGAGTGGATGCTTTGTGCTGCTGATGTGCTAAGGATGTACTGGAAGAAAGGCAAGTGGGACCAGGCTTGGAGAAAGTACCAACCTCACCAGAAAAGTGTATTTTGTATGCAATGCCAATGGGCTCTGGAGCCATTCAGTGTCCACATCAGTGGTATCTGTTGGGGCAGGGGGAGCAGGAGGGATGTGTCTGGTCCCCTCTTTGCTGCTGGTTGTGTCTGCAGGGAGAGACTCCAGCTGTGGTGCAAGTGCTGCTCTGTATCCTCCAGTCCTGGCTGTGAAATCTGGGGATGTCTGGGAAGCAGCAGTGCCCACAGAAGCAGAAGCTCTCCAGAAGTGTCACTGCAGGTAAGTCGTGCACCTTCCCTTTGGGCCTGACCTTGGGCTCGT